TTTTTCAAAATTTGGGTTTTCAATTTTTCAATTTTTTTGAATGTTTTTCAATTTGGGTCAACAAATCTTATCAGTACAGAGAAGAAGGAAGACACAATTGATTGAAGACGGACGTCTGAGGAGATTTTTGGGGAGGAAATCCCGCGAGCACGACACAAAGAGAAAAAGAACCCTAACCCTAGCTTTGGAATGTCGAAGATTTCTCATCCAATCGGCTTCAACATTCAAGATACGTAACACCTCTTTTATGCACAATCGATATTTTTGCAAACTAATAGTTAAAAATCAGTAAAATTTTGGACAATCGTGGTGATGAAATCTGAAATTTTATCGTGAGAGAGAGACAATGTTTGAATATTTTTTTTATTCACAGATAATTAATTATGTGTGATTTCTCAAATGACAGGGGCATAACGGGACATTTGAAAAAAACGTAACGGTGTTAATACCCAGACAAAAGTTGGGGAGCGTCTGCTGGCCAAAGTATAATACAAGGGGGTTTGACGCAATTTTTAAAATACAAGGGGATAACGCGCAGATTTAGTATAATACAGGGGGATTTGGTGCAATTAACCCCTTTTTTTTAACCTCTCCCAAACTATAAGATAAATTTGCACCCCATACCGAAGATTCCTCAATTTTTGCAACTCTACAAAAGTAACTAAAATAATTGCATATCTACTAAATCAACATACTTAATTAGATTAATATCTAAATAAGTTATCACATTCGTTCCAACGTCCTCCCCTTATTATGCGCTTAAATTATATATCATTCATACTCAAACTGAAATAACCGTGAATTAATAGTAAAAAAAATAGATAATCAAAATGAAATGTAAAATTTTGAACAAAAAATAGTTCAATCGATTCAGTGCAGTTCGATAGTCATTAATGTGCAATTATTTTACAATATGGTGTAGTTGCAGCGCATATATTTTTAATAATTTGTTCCATCACAATCTAAATATCAGTGTATTCGAGCAATTAACCGAAATAACAAAAATAATATAAATAATTTAATATTTATATTACAAATAAATTAGTATTTTTAATATTTATATTTAATATTTATATTTTTGGGGCTGAAAACAAAAAACATTATTATATAGTAATATATATATATACAAAAGTATTTTTTATATATTTCTATAGTTTTGATTATTTTGGTTATTTTAAAAATAAGTCCGATATTGAACTAACATAATCTATATTTTACAAATAAAAATAGATAATCAATCTAAAATATAAGATATCGACATGAAAATTGTAGTCAATTTGTTTTCGGTCATTATGTGCAATTCATCAAACATTATTGTGCAATTTGGTAGTCATTAATGTGCAATCTGTCTAGCACTATTGTGCAATCGCATTGTATGTATTTTTTAATGACTTGTCCCAAATTAAGTTAAACATAACAGAAATAATTAATTTATTCAATCAGTTGACAGAATTAACCTCAATATAGAAAATGATTTATAATCTATAGTTTACAAACTAAGTTTAGTATTGTAATACAAACTATGTTTAGTACTGTAATAGTTTAATTATTATTTTATATTATTTTTTATTTGAAAATCCATAATATATATATATTTTGAAAAGGCATAATATATATATATATATACTAAAATAATATTTTTATAAAGTTTTGTCAGTTGATTATTATAAAAACATACAGCCGATGTTGGATCGAAATAACTAAATTTTATAAATAAAAAATGATAACCAAACATATGTATATGAGAGCATTGAGGTTCTCCTGCAGAATGGGATCTTATATAAGCGATCGTACATAGGGCCTCATCTAAGGTGTTCTCAGAGCAGGACGGAGAGTACGTACTCAAGGAGGTGCATGAAGGATGTTGCGGCGACCACCTGAAGGCTAGGGCGTTGGTCGGGAAGGTGCTTCGGGCTGGATACTTCTGGCCTAAGATGAGGACGATGGCACAGGACCTTGTGCGAAAATGCAAGAGGTGCCAGCAGCATGGTCTATTGATCCATAAAGCAGCCGAGAACATGGTCCCGATTAGCTCGCCTCTACCTTTTACTCAGTGGGGGGTTGACATAGTTGGACCTTTGCCTCAGGCGACGGGCCAGCGAAAGTTCCTCATTGTGGCAGTGGATTACTTCTCCAAGTGGATTGAGGCCGAGCCCTTGGCGACGATCACAGAAGAAAGGGTGATGAAGTTT